CCACTCCCACCCCCGACCCTACCACCATATCTTCTATCTTCTTATTTAAAGCGAATTGTAGAAAAAAAGCAAAAGTGAGGGAGAAAAATGATAGGATAAAAAAAAAATGCTTATGCCGCGTTTCCACGTATGAAGGATATGAAAATGAAACAAATAAAAAAAAAAAAAAAAAAAGAAAAAAAAAAGATATTAAAACGAGAAAGAAAATTGAAGTGTAGTATTAAAGGACAGAATAAGAGTCATGATTCGCGTAGGTGATTGTACGTATATATATATTATAGTTGAAACGTGACATTATGATAAATACCGTAATGATCGATGAAAACGAAAGAATTAAAAATTAAAAATAAAAGGAGGTAAAAAAATAACTCGTTCGTGATTTAGATTCTAGCAGCCTACTTTCAAAGGTCTTCTTCATTATTCCCGGATATCGAGATCAAGCATCTGTCAGTCTATCTACCTATCTATCCATCTTCATCTTTCTCTTTCTATTTCTCTTTCTTTCTCTCTTTCTCTCACTCTCACTCTCTTTCTCTCTTGTTCGTGCCAATGCTGTTTGCTCAACAATCACGTTAAACGGATTATCTTGATCACGTCGGATGAACGATCAAATATGTGCCGGCTTTTCCTCAACCGACTACGAGACCTTCGCTAGTGGATAATTGATTGAATTCTATTTGCACTGATCCGCTGATACAGAAGAACAAAACGAAAAAAAAAAAAAGGAAAAAAGCAAAAGAAGGGAGAGAAAAAATAAAAAAAATGAAAGAGAGTGGGAAATAGGAAGAAGGGTACGTTTACACCCACCTTTTTATAGACAGACCATCGTTGTTCAGTACAAACCATACCTACGCACAACTAACAGTCTTTTTTTCGTGCTCCAATTTAAATAACTTTTATTTTGATTTTTTCGTAATCATGAAACCGCTTATTTTTGTATCGTCGGTATTATTTCGTTAAGAGGATTACTTTGGTTTTTTAAACAAATCGTTTGGATAACTCAAAATAAGGTACGTAACAATTAGAAAATTTAATGATCATTAATTAGGTGTATGTATTTAAAAAAAAAAGAGAGAGAAAAGTTTCTCATTAATTGTTTTAGAATTACGCTTACGGTATTATTTTTTACGATATTATTTCAATAGAACAAGATTGCGGATTGTAACGTTATTCGTATGCAAATAAATATGAAATAAAAATTAGTTAGACAAAAATATGACACTTATGGAACAATCTAATACCTATATGAATTTCCATAAAACTATATACATATATAAATAAACGATTAAAATAATTTTATTAACACATTCCTTGTCAAGTGTATTGTTTCAAATACACGTGACACGATAATGACACGTATTAGTCAAATGCAACTTGTTAAGAAACGCGTTGAACAAATTCTTGTTAACAATAATTTGAATAGAAAAAGTTAAAAAAGAAAAAAAGCAATCAAATAAACGTAAATATATATATATGATAGTTGAATAGACAAAACTTATATGTACATATATCTGTACGTGTATATATATATACATATGAATTTCCATAAAACTATATAGGCAAGCATGAAATGTACTTACAAACGGTAGCGTATGTGTTATTCAAAATCGTTCCCACGTAATAAAGTTTTGGAAATTCGAGCAACACGCATACGATCCGCGTTTGATAAACTAATTCGCACACGTCGCTCCACGACGACGGATATGGCCGCTAAATCGGTTTGGAAAATCCATCGATGTGACATGCGGAATCGGTGATTCGTTCCCGGAAATGAGGGCAGAAACGAACAATCAAATCGCTGTCGAATTAATGCGCTCTTCATGCGGACGATATTAACGAACGAACGAACGAACGAACGAACGAACCAACGAATATTACCGGCTGATGTCAATATTAATATTCTCGTGTCACCTCTCGTTTGCCGCGATGCCCTTTTCATTTTAATCGTTCTCTTATCGATATCATCAATGATCGAAAGAAACTTAACGAACAAAATAAAACAAAAAAAATACAATAAGGATGAACTATAATATTTCATAAATTGTCCTCTACCGACAATATTTGACTAATCGTACGTTTCATCTAAGATAATTTATATATAATTTGACATTATTTTAAATTATTATATATATAACAAATAATCGAGATTCATTATAACTATATTAGTTTATAATAAGTATGAAATATATTAAGGATAAGTATATTTTTTTCAAACGTTGATTTTTTCCTATTCAAAATTTCTTTAACGAGTAATAATTTAAATTAGAACACTGATGTTAGCGATTGATTTATGGACAATAAACGAATCATTTAAAGATATGATGATTAATATAAAGAAAATAAATAATGATTTATTTTTGTTATGCAATTTTACTAACGATTATAAAGACCAGATAGTAGCTGATAGTATTAAAACGATAACTTCATATTTCACCTGGTCGACCGTTATCGTACGCAGATTTCCAATAATCTGACGAATAAATGTCATCAACATACCATTAATTTTCTATCGAAGATAAATTGCAATTACTTATCAATGACGTTAATAGCTGACTCGTTAGATTAATTAAAACAACTAACTCTATGAAGTATGTAAATACAAAAATACGAGCATGTGTACATGCAATGAGTCAGAGGGGGAGTACGTTACAAATTAGAAATTATTAATTTTTCTTTGTAATGAAAAACTTTAAAATTCTTATACGTAAAAAACCCAATTTACGATTATTCATCTTTCAAATTGATATGAATTTTATTACAGAAAAAATATTTTATTATAAGAGAAATATAATCTTACAAAATTGATTTTATAAAAGTATTTGCATCTAAATAAGAATATAATAAAAAATACAATAATTATTCTTGTAAATAATACTCTTCGAATCTTATATAAATAATTCTTTTAAGACGATTTAAGAAAGACATATCATGCTTGACCAATTTTTATCAACAATTTATGTCAAAATTTTATTTATCTTATAATAAAATAAAACTCTTTTGTGTCCAATAAAATTAATATCAATTTCAAAATTTATACAATCCACGCAAAATATATTTTCCTATGTGAAAATATTTCAATATTATTTATTACAAAAGAAAATATTGATCGATTTTTTTAATTTAATAATAGAAGATACTCTCTCTTGTGACTCATTTTATATACAGATATATTATATAAACATCATTACAATAAATTTAACATTTATATAGGAAATACAAATGTTTAATATCAACTTTGGTTGATGGTACTGCTAGCTGGCGTGTAATTCGAGTCTTGTGTGCTGAGCTAAGGTCAATCGGGTTCAAGAAGACCCAGAACGGTAATAAGAGTCCTTAGTTTAAGTAAAATGAGTGTTTCTCTGATTGTATCACTCTCTCTCTCTCTCTCTCTCTCTCGATCTCTCACTTTGTCTTTCTTAATAAAATGAACATTTGTCTAAATCCAAGTCCGTGTCGATGTAATCAATGATCATGCTAAAACGAAAGCACAAACCGCTTACTTGATGTTGAGTTGTGAATTTGAATTTGTCGAGTGAAATAAACGAATCCTCGTTTTCATTCGTGTTTCCTCCTACAGTTCCTATCCTTACCTGTCACGTTCATCATCGATAACAAGCCAAGAGAATGGGTGAGAGAGAGAGAGAGAGAGAGAGAGAGAGAGAGAGAGAGAGAGAGAAACAATGACGACATTACCTGTTCCCGCATACTAATTCTCTTATAGACAAGGTCCTATGTCTTTTACTGCTTCTCAACATCCTTGATTACCCTTTTACAATTGATTAACCTATCCTGCTAGAGACTATTATTCACAATGAACTTGCACTTACTATATACCATTTTGATGTTTCCTTTTAATAATGATTATTGCACGACAATTGATTAAAATCTTTTGACGTACTTGAATATAAATTTTGCACTGAATATGAATTATCTGATCTAACTATAATGCATGTTAACATTCTGACTATATTATAGTTAATCTTTAATTAAAATTAATTAATTACAATTGAAATTAAATAAAGTTAAATTATCGTCCGTTATCAAGAAAATTAACGATAATACGATCTCTTATTTTCTCTACACGTATTTTTTTTTTTTTTTAACATACAATTTGAATTTCCATTTAGATACTAATTATTGCACGACAATTGATTAGAATCATTTGACGTACTTGAATACAAAGCTTGCACTGAATGAATTATCTGATCTAACTATAATACACGTTAACATTCTGACTATTATAGTTTCTCTAATTAAAATTAATGAATAACAATTGAAATTAGATAAAGTTTAATTATTGTCTGTTATCAGAAATTAACAATAGTTGGATTCACTTCTCTACACGTGTTTTCTTTTTATCGTATCATTCGTGTCTATATTTTGATACTAATTGATGCATAAGAATTGATTAGAAATTCTGACGTGTTTGAATATAAAGCTTTACCCTGAATGAATTATTTGATCTAACTAGAATACAAATTAACATTCTGTCTAGACAGTTTCTAATAAAAATCATCTAATTAAATTTGAAAATGAGATTAAGTCCAATCATTGTCTGTTATCAGAAATTAGCAATAATGTAATCCACCTTATACGAGTGTCTTCCTTTTGCACAGTGATATCGATTCGAAGGAAACAGTCGAGCAAGGATTCTAATCGTAGTGAAATAATTAAACGCTGGGAAGGAAAACGAGAAGGAGAAGAAGGAGGTGGAGGAGGAGGAGAAGAAGGAAGAAAGTTGGAAGAACGGGGAGGAGAAGGAAGGGAAGGAAGAAGAGAGGAGTGCGAAAGCACGTTAATCGTTAAGAGGTCGTTGAACCTGATAAATTAGGAAGTTTGTAGATAGGTATAGTTCGTAGATACAGATTGTGAGCTGACGCCTTGAAGAATTTTACGAAGATAAATAAAGAAAAAAAAATAAAAGAGAGAGAGAGAGAGAGAGAGAGAGAGAGAGAGAGATGCCATTAAAAAGAGAAACCAGTGGAATCGTGAGGGTGTTTATGAAAAACCGAAGAGGAAAAAGACGACGGCTTAAACGTTTCGATAGTTTCTGTCAAGCTGTGCAATTCTATTGCTCGAATACAACCATACACGGTTTGAAATACGTCACTGCTACGGAATTGAGTTACCTCGAGAGACTTCTATGGCTAGTTACAGTAATTTTATCCTCGATTTTTGCCATCGGACTGATCTACGTGATAGCCAAAGAATTTCAGGTGATTCTACGATACCCTAACGAACTAAACGACCCTATCGTTCAACGTCGACTATGATGGATGGATGGATGGTTGGTTGGTTGGTTGGTTGGATGGTTGGATGGATGGATGGATGAATAGATGTGTGGGATATTTGGGTGTTTGGGTTGGTTCGGATAGATGCTTCGCACCGAAACTCGGTTTTGCATCAAATGCCTACCATCACCTTGCACGTATACACACACACACACATATACATATACATATTATATGTACCTACATACATATACATTGAACGTTTACGAGACTACCCCAAGTTAAATCGAATTTAAATTTTCAAGTTTATCTTGCTCACGCAAGACCTACAACTTGATAATGATGCACCTCCTTTAATCTAAAACATTCTCTTAGACTATAAACCCTCCCTATTTTAAATCGTTTAAGATTTTTTTTTGTATATTTTTCTTCGAAATATCCTGTACGTAGGTACATGAAATATTTTCAAAGTAAAACTGTCGATATTTTCTTTAATAAACCAACGTTAATCTTACTTTGTTTTTAGATCTGTTACTGAGATAGGATAAATATCGACAATTCAACTTTGATTTTCTTAAGATTCGTATCTATAAAAATATAAACGATAAAACTATTTATTTCGATTCTCGTAGAATTATCCAACGTCCATAAGCATAAAGTCAACGAATTACAAAACTTCTGGGGTACCCTTTCCAAGCGTGGTCATTTGTCCAAACCAACACGTAGATTGGAAAATGGCAATGGATCTTGAAAAGAAAATCTTTCCTAATTCTACGATAGAAAGGAACAAAAACAGCAGAAACAGCAGCAGCAGCATCAACAGTAGCAGTAACAGTAACAATAACAGTAGTAAAAATAACAGCACCAGCATCAGTAATAACAGCAGTAATAGCAACAGTAACAGTAACAACAGCAGCATCCTAACTTTTCGTAAACTATTACGAAAACTATCGATCATGAGTTTCGGTGACTTCGATCTTTTGACGTTCCTGAAAGATCGAGATCTTACCGAACTAGCTGGTACGTTGAATAAAATTTCAATTTCAATTTCAATTTTTAGACGACTCGTATTTTGAAGAAAACGATAAATAAAAAAGTAAAGAAAACTTTGAACATTCTCTTGCGAGTAATAAATTGAACTCATATAAATAAGTTTCATACGAGAGTTTGAAAAATATTTGTGATTTTTTCAAATTTTATTATATTAATATTATATTATATAGATATCTTTCGTAATATTATTATTATTATTTTTTTTTAATCAATTTCCAATAATTATATTATATGATACACGAAGCTTTAGCAGAATAATCCCAACGAATTCGTGATTTTAATGATTCTTAATTGCCGTTATTAAAATGAAATATCTCGTATAATTATTAAATTGTATATTAATATTTCAATTTGGTATATGATAAATAATAAAACGATCAATCATTACGAAATGAAATGAAACTCCTAACGTATACGATATTAAATTCTGCTTATCGATCGTTTATATCTATATACACATACATACACACACATATATATATATATATCATGTTCGAGAAGATATCAACGTGACGAGAATACTTCTGGAAACGATGCCAAAGTGTTCAGGTCTCTTCTCTACTTGTTGGTGGCGAAACTCCTACTATGACTGTTGTGAGATCTTCGAGGTTCAAAAGACGGAGTACGGCTTTTGTTACTCCTTCAACTCGGAGTTGTCGGAAGAACGGGTAGATCAAACTAAAGGGAAGGAATCGAAGAGAAGAGCACGAAGAACATCTGGTTACGGTGAATGGAGTGGCGTTAGATTGACGATGCATCTCAAGAATATTAATAAACCACCGGACTCTGGTAAGATTTATAAACAAAAAAAATAAGAAAAAGAAATATTAGGTCTACCGGAAAGTTATGTCTGTTTTTTTAGAATTAAAAAAAAATTATTATAATATTTGATGATAAAGGTTCATAAGGAACTTGGACATGAAAAGAAGTAGAACTTAATTTAATAAGTTCTTAAGAACATAATTTAATTAAGTTCTACTTCTTTTCATGTCCAAGTTCCTTATGAACCTTTATCATCAAAAATTATAATTTTGGACGAGAGAAAATACTAAATAAATTATTATAATAAATTTATTCCTATTATGAATAAACTTTATTAAATAATATAATTATTGTCATTGATATTTTTATGACTTCTTGTCAAGCCTGATTGGCAATTTGTATATTCTTATTTGTAAAAAATGACATTGTATCCTTAGAAACGATAAAATTGGAACGAGTGATTTGTCTGAAAAATTTTTCATTTTGTTTTATTTTAAAAACGAACATAACTTTTTTTCGATAGACCTAATATAATAATAATAATAATATTAAAATCATTCGCACACTCGTGGCCTTTTTTTCTGTCTCTCAATTTTTCGCATATTTGGTGAATTTTCGAAGCAAAACACGTATTAGGTGGGAAGATAATATTAAAATAGATTTTAATTAAATAAAATATTAGGGGGTCGCGAATGGAGGAATTTTGCGCAAGATAGGAGGGAAAAATTTTCGAAATAAAAAACCAAAAAAAAAAGAAATATCAATAATGAATAAATCATTATAAAATTTTATATTTAACTAATTCTAATAGTGATAATGTTTAACGCGTCATTATACTACGCTCGAGAAGAAAAATTTATTTGAAAGTAATAAAAATTTTAATGAATTCTCGATTAATATCGTATTCAAATAAACCTCTAAACGAATATATGTATATATATATATATATATATATATATATATATATATATACATATACATATAAAATTGCGAGATCGTTATTATTCCGCTTAATTTACTCTATAAATAATAAATCGATGAGATATATCGAGTATCAGAAAATGAACGGAATCATGTATGAGCATAAACAATTCAAATAATGCGTAAATATCGATTTATGTTGGTACCGTGTGAAATGTTCTACGTTCTATTTGCAAACGTCGATATACCATAATATAAAGGTGAAACGTTATGTTCTAATGCTTTACGGTATACGATATTTGCGATCAATGCGGATGACAAAGATTCACGATGTGTTCCTAAGATATATCTATTATATAAATCTATATTTTATAATACGTACACGAGAGAGAGAGAGAGAGAGAGAGAGAGAGAAAGATAAAGATATATACACACACCTATAGTTTTACCTATAATTTATTACATAGATAGACGTTAAATAAAACGTTTTAATCATAACGTTACAATACGTTATCCGAATATCTGAATGTAATCGAGTAGATGTACATAATTTTATAACTTAAAATTCAAAATAATAAAATGAATAATAATATATTGATGTCATAACATTGATCGAATTGATATCAACAAGTTTACAATTATCGAGAATAAATTGGATTGAAATTAATCACATCAAAGTGAAATATATATACAATAAATTATATATATATATATATATACATATATACATAGGTTGCGATTAAAACAAAAAAAAAGGATGAAAATATATTGCTAAGTTTTTGCTTTCTCCTTTTAATCTTTTAATATCTCATTACCTCTTTTACAGTGTCTTTATTATAAAGTAATATTTCACTGTGCTATCTTTACGCGCTTTTACAACGAACAAGAAATTAATAAGCAACGTCAGAAGAGAAGCATACTGTTATAAAAAAAACATTCAAATTTATTTTTCTTTACTTTTTTATATAATATATTCTTTAGCGTTGTTCGGAGAAAGAAAAACAAAATAAGAAAAAAGAAGAAAAATCATATAAAACAAGTATGATTTTGCAGATATATTAGATCTTACATTTGTAGAAATCTTTGATCGAATAATCTTCAATGCCATGCTAGGAGTATTTATTAGGGAATTCGAGCTTATGGTAACTATTGGGTCTTCGTTGGTAATCACAGAGACCAATGCGCAAGGTTTGCTCTTAATGTAACTCGAATGTTAAACCAGTGACAGTGTAACTTCATCAGCGTGGCATGTCAATCCAGAGCTCGTTAACCGAACAAGCAAAAGGCTTTATATCCGAATCAATTCCCGATATCCCATGTCGACGTACGCATAATTCCTGAAATGTCGTTGGTGAGATAACCAACAGCATTCTTCGGACGAACGAAATATCGATTCTGACGCGGTCAATCGTATCCAACGCGGACGATTTCATTCTAAATTCACAATTACTAACAATATTGCGTTTGTATTTATTTTAAATATCTACCCATAATGTAATCCTAACAATAATTTTAGAAAATATTTTTATTTCTATAGGAGTGTTTATACGTGTTTA